GAGGACATGGGGTCTTGAAGAGGGAGGAAAGGCAGACCTAACGGAACAGACCAGAGCTCCTGGCCTTAATATCCTCATTCCTGCTGCACACCCACATTTCAATACCCAGCTCCACTTCCAAATATACACCAGAAGAGTACTGAGCCTGAGCTGTACACAGACCATCTATTATTGCATACCTCAGACACACCTCTCTAATACCCACAGGTCATGTTGTCCAACTTTTTAATAACTCTTTGGGGCCCGCATTTTCTTTCTTTTAATTCTCATGTTTAACCTCTTCAGGTACCAATACCTGAAAACAGATCTCATTAATTTCCCTTATAATCTTAAATTCCTGTACCTACTGAAAGCATTGCCACTCTTACAGAGGCATATCTGATGCATTCCTCTGTCTACACTTCTGATGCTGGAGAATTCTGAAGTACCTCCTGAATTGATCTTCCCTTCCAGGGCTACAAAACCCATCCAGATCCCCACCAGTTATCTGTCCTCTTCCAATCCATCCTGCAGAACAGAAGTAATGCTAAACTTCCTGATGTCCCCCTGAAATCATATCCCGCTTGTTTCCCGATCTTCTGATTGATCCCCAATACCCACACATGAAATAGACCGGAAATAGACAGAAGGGTGGGAGGGGAGGAGACTTCAGAAATCACCTCTTCCATTAATTCTCTCAATTTGTGGGGGAAAGAACTGGCTGCATCAGTGATTTAACAGTATCCACGATTTGATTTGGTTTTGTTTCATGCTCCCACATGATGCTGATAGGAATACAGCAAATCCCTTGGGTGTTCCAGGAGTGAAAAATGACTGAGAATCACTGATCTACCCCAATTGTTATCCTACAAATGAGGGAGATGCTATAGCCTGGTTCTCTAAGTAATGCCCAACAATGGTGCTTTATTTTTTTATTTCCTATTCACATACTCAGGCTCTTGCTAAAGCAGGTTACTTAAGCCTGCCTGCACCTTAGAATCAGTGCCTTGCTTCATGCTGCTCCCTCCCTTCTTCTGTCCATCCTCAGTAGCCACATGTCCATCCTCACTAGCCACATGTCCATCCAGGAAGCATACACCCACACCAACTCCCCCAAATAGGGTATGATCTCGCCCTCCTTTAAATCTCCACTGCACTTCGTACCTCACTTGTAGCAATCAGGAATTCCAAGCACAATGAAAAGATACTTGGTTGACACCAGTGAGAATAAATACTGCCAGCAGGTAACAAATTCTGCTTCAGATCAATCTACAGTTCATTCATGGCACCTACGCCACCCATCTCCACTGTCATAATCCTTAGAGCACAGGTCCCCAACCTTTTTGGCACCAGGGCTTCATGGAAGACAATTTTTCCATGCACGGGGGGGGGGGGGGGGGGGATGGTTCAGGCGGTAATGTGAGCGATGGGGAGCGGCGGATGAAGCTTCACTCCTCGCGCTCACCTCCTGCTGTGCAGGCCGGTTCCTAACAGGCTGCGGACCAGTACCGGACCCCTGCCTTAGAGGACATAAATCACTAACTCTCCCAGGGCAACACCAGCGCTTTTGCTTTCTGAAGTCATCAGAAGCTCCAAATTTCAAAATACCACCTAGGGGCTTCCCTGGTGGCGCAGTGGTTGAGAGTCCGCCTGCCGATGCAGGGGACGCGGGTTCGTGCCCCGGTCTGGGAAGATCCCACGTGCCGCGGAGCGGCTGCGCCCGTGAGCCATGGCCGCTGAGCCTGCGCGTCCGGAGCCTGTGCTCCGCAACGGGAGAGGCCACACCAGTGAGAGGCCCGCGTACCGCAAAAGAACAACAACAAAAAAAATCAAAATACCACCTAGGTATTCTCAGATGTTCCACACAAGTTAAATGCAAGAACTATTCTGTTTAAAGTCTAATTTAATTTTTTTGAATTAGAAAATGCTTGATTTCAAGGTGCTGTCAGAACTTTACCAAATGCCTATTCAAAAGACTTTCTACACTATCCTTCTTAATGTACTGGCAAACTATGTCATAAAACCTACAGGCTGAAATAACTCTAAATTTTAACAATAAAAATAAAAGCCTCATTCAACCAAATGCCTTGAATTTAAGCAAAACTAGATGATTTCAATTTTGTATTAACAAATTGTTATACCTATAATAATATCTGTCATGTGAGTACCTTACGTACCCATTTAAAATTTCTCTCCATTAAAAGGAAAACATTTCACCTCCAGTGAATAAACATTTTTAAATATATGGTTTTAGAAAATTAAGCTAGTAACATCAACCAATGTCTTCGCATCAACAGGTATATTACCTACAAAGTACTGAACATATGAATAGATGAATGAGTAATTTCTTATACTAGGAATTGAATATTTAGTACTTAAGCCAACATTCTAGTTTACAAAGCTTAATAATCTTCTCTAAATTACCAATAAAGTATATTCCTCTCTGAGCCCTGACAATACAGCTGGATTCAAATCCACCAAACATATTTATTTATGAGCTTGGGGATATCAAACCATCTAGAACATTTTTCCTTCCAAAGCACATACATTTTTCCTTCCAAAGCACATACATTTACCTAGAAGTACAGACAATAAAACTAATGAAACAGGTGCTTAGCCTAAACAACTCACTGTCATGCATTGTTCTAGGCAAGCAGACGTATTCTAAAAGTTTAGAACGCAAAATGTATCATCTCTTCTACCATAATCTTGAGAAATAATGTTTCAAAAAGTAAAACATCTAACACGTTAACACCACATCCAATAAAGGAAGGAAAATGCCTGGCAAGCAATATGAAACAGCAGCTCAAAACACACTAACTCTGCTGCTAAAAACATTCCCTGGTCAATGTATCAAAATCTAATTAGACCAATATTTAGTTTCCCAAATCCAAAATATTTAGGAATTATGGCACCCACAGTAGAATTAGCACAACTTCATCTATTACAAGTTCTCACCTACTAACAATCATCTGTCCAACCAATCTCTGATGAGCACCGGCTGTGTGAGACACGCTGTACTAGGAAATGCAGGTGGTATAAGATTAATATAAGCATATATAATCCATAATTTCACATAAAGATAGGACAAGCATACACAAGGTGCACTACGAATGCCATCAGAAAAAACGAAATGTCATGGAAGTACATAAAGATATAAGCATCTTTTTAAAAAAGGAAACCTAACCACAAACTGTAATTTAACTCAGCATATACACGGCTCTCAACCCTAAATATTATTTTCTAGGCCTTCAAAGAGGAGTTAAAGTTAGCTGAACCACCCTGCCAAAACACCTTAGCTCTGTCTCATCTGAGAAAACTTCCTCCAATAGTGTAATTTACTCTCCACGGGTCTTTCCATTCTGGGCTCTTGGTAGAAAAGACCACATGTGATTTCTTAAAGTAAAAACTATTACTATAAAAGATGTACTAAAATTAAGTTGGCAAGAAATGAAGAATGGTGTGTAGTCCCTTCTACATACAGGACACAAACACTTGACATTTGATTCATTCCCTTCATTCTCCTGCCAGCTCTCCCCACACCCGACCCCAAAGACAGGCAGATATTCTGTCAGGCAAAAGAAATTACCTTTTTCATGTGCTGTTAGGACAATCTAAACAGGTTTACATCTGACTTAATACTCATACTCCTCCAATGAGTATTTAGGTATTTATAAAAAAACAGTCACATTAAATTTAACCACTTCTACTATCCTAGTCTCTTTTAAAAACAAGTGACACACCTTTATCACTTTGTTAAGATCCTATTCTCTCACGAACTTTACTTTTTAAATGCTCTGAAAATTGGATTCTAATTTAGTTAATCCAGATTAACAAAAATATAAAGGAAAAGTCTTGTAGGTTATCGCTATAAATTACGGTTTTTTTCACAATTTAGTAAGCCGCAAGTACGTATTTAATACAAAGCCGCCATTGTGTGTGTGTATGTGTGTGTTTTTTAAATAAACAAAACGTATCTCAGCACCAGCCTAGAGGAACTCTGAGAAAATAGGAGAGGAGTCACCATGGAAAAATTCATTACAGATCAGGGAGGACTATTATCCTCAGAAACAGAATGAAAATAAAAAGTCATTTTGCAATAAATCTCCCTATACTTCTGCTGTGTGACTTGGGAGTTGGTCCAAAAGTTCATCTTCAGCAATTGCGTCTGCATGATCAACTATACGTCTCTGCAACAGGTGACAGGAAACTCCATTTCTCAGGCAAAGGCATCAAATTAGTTAAGACGCATGTTCCTGAGGTCTCTTATTTTATTTTGCATTTTACCGAAATGATTTTGAATCAGATGAAATACTAAATTTGTTTTGGTTTCCTTTGGTTTTTCTGCTTTGCTTTTTAATCGGCCATTTACCCGCAACTGTTGCACGCGCCCATTAGCACTCAAGAATAAAAACAAACACACAGGACCAGATAAGGCTCCCCTACTAACCCAACTGATCTATTTCCTTAACACACTTTTAAAACCACACAGCTCGGGGTGTGAAGAGAAGCATGTTTTGTGTGTGTTTGTATGGCACAATCTATCTAAATCCTGAATTCCCTTTTTAGGAACAGATATAGAATAAAAATCTAAAAGAAACCACATTAGAAATGCAAAGAGGTCTGCAAAAACAAGAGGCTTCTTTCATTCCAAAAAACCAAACCAAAACAAGGGGAGAAAAATGAATGCAATGGATGTGTGTGTGCCAAACTTTCAACCCTGCCCGGTGGAGACACTGCACTGGCACAAATTTTTAAGAGGAAAAAGAGGGGGTTGGTGGGGGGAGAGGGAGAGAGAGCGCGAGTGTGTGGCCTGCGAACTGCAACAATGCAATCTCCATTTTGAACAATGCGCCTCTTTCCTCTAGTAAATCTAGTTTTTTGCCACTTGATGTGCCGTCGCATTTCCCCTCTGTCTGAGGGGGGAGGAGGGGGTGGGGGGAGACCAGAGAGGGAGTGAGCGAGGGGAGAAGGGGGAGGAGGTGGGGAAGGAGTCTGCAGCAACTGGGCTGGGTGGGTACCTGGAGTGCTGCTATAGGTGCTATGGCTCCTGAAGCTGCTTTCCGTGCAATAACTGGCGTCGTCGTCGTCGTCGTCTTCCATCTCCTCCGGATAATCGGAGTCATCGTCGTCCTCTTCCATCTCATCCTCCTCGTCGTCCTCGGAATCCTGGGTCTCCTCAGCCTCGCCGTCCTCCTCCTCCTCCTCCTCCTCGGAGACCATGTCCTCCTCCTCCTCTTCCTCCTCACTCTCGTGGTCATCGTACACCACTTTGTTGACGGCCCTCCGGGCCGGGGTGGTCCGGGCCAGGTGGCCGCCGCCGCCCCCGCCCCCCGTCCTGCCGCCCCCGCCTCCTCGCCCCCCCCGGCCCGGGGCGCTGGTGCTAGGGGGGGCCGGCGGCGGCGGCGGCGGCTTCCTCCGGCTACTGCTGCCCCCCCTGGGCGAGCTCAGCCGCGTCTTGGGCGCCACCTCAGCCTGGGCGGCGGCCCACCTGCCCCGGCTGCTGCCGCGGTGCCGCGAGCGGAGCCCCCCGATGGGTCCGGACGTAGGCGGCGGCGGCGGCGGCGGGGCCGGGGCGCAGCGCTCCGCAGCGGGAGCCGCGGGCTGCTTGGGGGGGCCTGCCCCGCCGGCCCCTCATGTCGGGGCCGAGGCGGGGGGAGAAGGGAAAGCGGAGGGGGGAGGGGCGGGCGGAGGGGTGGCGGTGGGGGGCGCCGGGGCCCGGTGGGGAGGCCCGCGGGGCCGGGCGGGAGGGGCCCGGCCGGCGGAAGCGGGTGGAGGGAGAAGGCTCAATCCGAATTGCTGGGGCCCCACTCCGGATCGCCTTCAGCCGCCATCTTGTTTCTTCCCTCTCGCTCGGTGACTGGGGGAACCGACAGCGGCCGCAGGCCCGGAGCGCGGTCACGTGAGCTGCGCCGCCGACGAGCCTGGGACGGAGCGAGGCCTCACGGCGGCCGCTAGGGGGAGCGCGGCAACGCCGGGTCGGGGGCGGGGAGCCCCGGGCCCCCTCCGCTCGGCGTGGCTGGACTGCACCCGCTGGCGGCTCTGAGGAGAGGGTCGCTCCCTCGCGAAGTGCCCCGGGCCGAAGGCCTCAGGAGCCGGCTGCCGAGCCTGAACTCACAGAGCCTCCTGCCCGCATCTCCCCTTCCCCGGCTCCAAGACGAGGGCAGGGAAGCCCCCAAATTCGCCTCCCTCCTGCCTCCTTGGGGAAACTGATGCTGAAAGAGCCAGAGAGGGTGTCGGGCAGGGGGGGAGACTCCAGCGACCGAGGGGGCAGGGCAGCGCCAGCAACGGAGGGAAATTACCTGAGGGCGGGGAGACGAGCCCCCAGAAATGTGAAACTCCGAAGGCTGGGCTCTAGAGAGTCCTGAAATTGATCCCAGTGACAACTACTCGGGGGCTGTGCCAGAAGCCACGCCCAAAGCTGCCAGAACCCGAGCGAGGGTCGCTCTGAGACTCTTCGGATAAAATTCCCACCCAAAAAGCCTTCGATAAACTTCAGAGTGCAACTGCATTCCAGTCTCCTCCACCTTTTCCAGGGTCCCAGCTAGAAACTTGACCACCTCTGAAAGAACTTTTTTATTTGCTGTGGAAAGGGTAACTTCCCACCTCATACCTACTTTAAAATGTTGTATGTTTGTGTTATCGGGAAATAATTTTAATCTCCTTACCTGACAAGTAACCAAGTCTTGGCTAAACCCAGGGAACGAATCATAATGATGAAATTTTAGGCATCCCCAGACCAACGCAGGGAGACTCAACTCGCAGTGGTCTGGGGCTAAGAGCAAGGTTTTATAAACATATTAATATTTATTGAAGCACGTGACCACCAAAAAGTTATTTAAGGAAAAATAGTTAACAGGATTCTGTCCACCAAGTGGCTTATTATAATGGAGTTAGAAGGATAGAACGCGTATGTGAAATGAAAATGAACGTACAAGCATTAACTGCCAAATTCATTTATTCAGTATAGTTCCATTGAGCAGCAAGCGTGGCAAACTCACATGCCTTCAGGGACCAGGTGACTAGTGAAAGTAAATCAAGTGAGCAAGGTGAGGACTTTGGCGGATGGAAATGCCTGTTTTGTTTAAAGAGCGCAACTTTGGGAATGTGGGCCTAAAATGGCCAGACCTTCGAATTTTTCAAGAGAAGGTGGAAATGTGCATTTCACATGAAATCTCTTGATTTTTAAATGTTGGCAACTGTCAGTTTAAAAAAAAAAAACACTTCAGATTGATCAAAATGAATGCAGTTCAGATATAGCTGAGAATCTACAAGTGTGCAACCTGTATCCTGCACTATATAAAGTACAACCCTATGTACTTAAATAGAAAGATATTAAAAATGGTGACAGCCTTCAGAGTTTACAATCTCATAACGGAAGAAACCTACTTTAAAATAGGTTCTCGGGACTTCCCTGGTGGTGCAGTGGTTAAGAATCTGCCTGCCAATGCAGGGGACACCGGTTTGATCCCTGGCCCGGGAAGATCCCACATGCCACGGAGCAGCTAAGCCCGTGCGCCACAACTACTGAGCCTGCCCTCTAGGGTCTGCGAGTCACAAATCCTGAGCCCACGCGCCTAGAGCCCGTGCTCTACAACAAGAGAAGCCACCGTAATGAGAAGCCCGCGCACCGCAACGAAGAGTAGACCCCGCTCGCAGCAACTAGAGAAAGCCCACACGCAGCAACGAAGACCCAGTGCAGCCAAAAAATATAAAATAAATTAAAAATAAACAAATAAAATAGGTTCTCATTAGGTATTATAAGTGATCTAGAGATGATTTAAAGTATATGGGAGAATGTGTGTAGGTTATGTGCAAATACTATGCCATTTTATATAAGGGACTTGAGCAAGCTTGGATTTTGGTATCTGGGGGTGGGAGGGTATAGGAAGAGCTGTCCTGGACCAATTCCCCGAGGATACCCAGGGACCATTGTAAATAGAATCCAAGCTCTCAAGCTCTTGTCTTCCAGCTGGCTCAGTAGGCGTGAATTCCCTGGGTCATTCCACTATTCCTTAAAGCCAGCTGCTTCTGGTTGTCGGGGTCCACAACACAGGGCTAGTGAATCTGATAGGACAGCCAGTTTCTTTACTTATTTCACTGTAAAGTTAGTTCCTTGGTCAGATGCTGTTATGGACTAAATGTTTCTGTTGCTACAAAATTCGTAAGATGAAATCCTCCCCCCAATGTGATGTATTAGGAGATGGGGCCTTTGAGAGTTAATTAGGATTAGGTGAGATCATGAGGGTAGAGCCCGCATGAATGAGATACGTGCCTTTATAAGATTATGAGAGAGACTGCTTCCCATCTCTGCTCTCTGGGTGAGGATATAATAAGTCGGCAGTCTGCAACCCGGAAGAGGGCTCTCACTAGAACCCAACCACACTGGCATCCTGATCTCAGACTTCCAGCTTGTGAGAAATAAATTTCTGTTGTTTATAAGCCCCACAGGCTATGGTAATTTGTGATAACAGCCTGAACTAAGACATACACCATGATGTATAAGATACCATGATGGTGAATAAGGTATTTGGTAAACCCATTTAGAATAAGGATGGTAAAGGCGTGGCTGGTAGGAAAGGAAATCCAAATTCAGTATAAACCTCCTCCCAATGAAGTTGACTCACTTAACCACCATGACAGAAATAATACATGATAATGATTCCTTCTAAAACGGGCATTCTGCAGTGGCAACAGATTAGCCTTGCTGAGGAGAATCCTGTGATGAGCTCATGACCCCAGTGAGCAGGCACTGGGTTGACTAGGAAAAGGGCTTCACCCACCTGTCCAGTCATCTTGTTCACTAATTTTTTTTTTTTTTTTTTTTGCGGTACATGGGCCTCTCACTGTTGTGGCCTCTCCCGTTGTGGAGCATAGGCTCCGGAAGTGCAGGCTCAGCGGCCATGGCTCACGGGCCCAGCCACTCCGCAGCATGTGGGATCTTCCCGGACCGGGTCACAAACCCACGTCCCCTGCATCGGCAGGCAGACTCTCTGCGCCACCAGGGAAGCCCTTGTTCACTAATTTATTAAAGCTTCTTTAGCAGTGGGGACTTTTTTTTTTTTTTTTTAATGTTTGCCTGCGTCAGGTCTTCATTGTGGCATGCAGGGTCTTCGTTGCAGTGTGCAGGCTTCCCTCTAGTTGTGGCCTTTGTGCTCAGTAGTCGTGGTGCACGGGCTCAGTTGCCCCGCGGCATGTGGGATCTTAATTCCCCGACCAGGGATTGAACCTGCATCCCCTGCATTGGAAAGCAGATTCTTAACCACTGGGCCACCAGGGAAGTCCCAGCAGTGGGGACATTTTGATAAATATTCATATAGGATACAAGTACTCTCACTTTCTAGGTCTATTCTGAGGTTCATCTACAGCTACATCCTCTCTCCCAAACCTCCTTGTCACCAGCCTAAGTCCTTACCCAGCTGGCCCATGAATTGGTGTAGAGTCATTCTCAAGGCAAAGAGAACCACAAAAGTACAACTCAAAGCTCTGCCCACTGGGAAGACTTCCTTTTGCCACTTCCAAGACCATTTTCAAGACCATCTCCAAGTGTAGCTAGAACACCTTAGCAGTCCACTGCCAGCTGATACCATCTGTTAAACCAAGCTCAAATGTCTTCCTTAGTCACCTAGTCACAGGAGTTTTCCATGAGACCAAGGTGTGAATTGAGGGAGGAGTGGCAGCAAAATGGAAATAAACATACAGGCATACCTCATTTTATCATGCTTCACTTTACTGCGCTTTGCAGATACTGTGTTTTTTTACAAATTGGAGGCCAACGTGGCAAGCAGCTGGCTGTCAGCTCCCATAAAGTGGAGTGTTCCTTCAATGTGAGAGGGAATGTAGGTTGGGTGAGATACGACAGAGAGGGAAGTGAACATGAGTTGACTTGGATGTGGGTAACTTGGAGAATGATGTATCACAGACCTACAGGTAAGACTCAGAAAGTCAGCACAGGAGCTGGTTTAGGAAGGAAGTGATTAGCTCTGTGACCTTAGATGAGTCACCCTGATTGGGCCCCAGTTTCCTCATAAATAAGTTAAGGTGCTGGGTTAGATCTGTACTTTCCAACTGTTTCACATTATAGCATCCAATGAAAACTAGAGGAGCTTATTGAATGTGATAAAATGTTTTCTTTATAGAATATGATTATAATAAAAATTAAATATATAGCATTAGAGAAGATATTAAATTGTGAATTTGTTAACACTTTTCAAAAAGTCATTTTTATTAAATGAGAAACTTGAACTTGAATCCTAGTACCTAATTTTATATTCTCAGCTTTGTGTTTTAAATAGCTCGTTCCTGACTGAGACTCTTGAACAGTGATCTCTTTAAATGACAAGAAACTGTATAGCAGTAGGTGTCCCAAAGAAATTTAAACCATCTTTGATAACCGTTCAAACATTTACAACAGTAGAAATTATATTTAAGTTATATTTAAGGCTCTTCCTCTTCTTTCATTGACAAATGTGCTTATAAAATTTCTTGTGGATTTTTGATCCAATCAGACTTGATCATAGCTAGTATTTCAAAACAATGATTGAAGCCCTAGTTTACAGAACACAGACACTATTAGAATAGTCAGTTCACAGTTTAGACATCTTTGTGGCACGTCTGCCACAAACAGACAAAATTATCCAACATCAAAGTTTGTGAAGATGGAGTTTCTGAGCTGCCTGCACAGAACCCCCGCCACACATATGCACTCATTCACAACTTCCTGCCCACTGGTTGCTCCTTGCATTCCTTGGGCACCTGGGACACAAACTCCTCCAGCATCTTTACGTAGGCAACGATGTGCCCTGCATCTGGCTGCCAGTGGTGGCCTCTTGCTCACTC